GTTATTAATGAAGGGGGTGGTTGCAACTAGGGGATATAACTGGAGTCTTAGCTTGTTCTTGGGAACTGGAGGCTTGGAGGACTTGGCAGTGAAGATTACTGAGTTACTCATGATGGGTTTACTTGGATGGCATTTGTGTCTATGCGAAATCCTTCAAGTGGGAGATTGTTGGGTTATTCGGTGAAGGCTTTAGAGCTGTGGGCTTTAAGCCTGGTCGGCTAAAGGGAAGAAACATGGGGGGCCGGTTTTAGTTATTAATTAAAGGGCCCATTAGTTGTTTCTTGTTTAGCAAGTTGTTAACCCTAGTTTATATCTTATAAATACCCAATCATGTAACTATAATCTGTGAGCACCTAATAAAAGATAAACCCTAGTTGCAACCCGTGGAGTAGGTTACTGACCGAACCACGTTAAATCTCGTGTTCTTATTTTCTGCTATTTGTGTGTGTGTTTGTTTGTTCGCTTCCGCTTGATCGCCTCTGATCTCTGATTCCTAACAGACTGTTTTGATCCAACAACTTATGGGTTTTTTTTGTTAATTTATTTGCTTAAGAGTTGGATATGTTATATACATAAATTTTTTGTATTTTTTAGATTTCTTTCCATTAAGATTAAGTTTATGACCTTCCACCAATATTTTATATTATTTCATGCTAAACTTTGTTGCATCTACTTTTACTCTCACAATATACTTTTTGAATGTTTATGGATTAATTGTGTTATTAAAAACGTTTTATCTTGCTTTAAAAAAAATGTTTTATCTTTAATTTAATAATATTTCATGCACACTTTGGTACTTCAAAAAGAGGCTTACCCCTCAATGCGCCTCGAGGCTTACACAATACGCCATGAAAAAAACTGCCTCAAAACTGCAATACGCCATTTTGAACATTGGACTCATGAATTTGAAAAGTACGTTAAGTGTGTTCGAAGTGATAATGGGACTTAATTTGAAGGGTTGAAAGAGTATTTTCCCGAACCAGGAATAGCTTATGAAACCTCATGTGTCTCAGCACCTCAACAAAACGGAAAGGGTTGAGCAAAACATCGTCACATACTCAATGTGGTGAGGGCGCTGCCATTCCAAGCATCGTTGCCCAAAAAGTTTTGGGGTGAGTGTATTCAAACGGCGGCATATCTTATTAATCGAACTCCGCCTTCGCTGCTAGGGGGGTTGCTTTGTTTGAAAAGATTTTCGAAAGAGCACCACCATTATCTCACATTCGACTTTTTTGTTATAAACGTTTTTTGCATAATCAAAAGCTCCATGGCGATAGATTCGGGAACAAAGTATCCATGGCATATTTGTGGGCTACCCTCCCGGCCAGAAAGGGTGGCGTATTATTGTTTTGCGTGATATTTATTTTTTTGAAGATATCTATCTTTTTCAGAATGAATCAATTACCCTGGACCAAACCCCTTCTATGGAAACAGAACCATTTCCAATGGATGAAGTTTCTCTTCAAACATCTGGAATACATGAAGTGCCAGCGTCCCAGGGTTCGAGAGTCACAAATTTGCAAAGTTCTAGATCCCGGGATGTGCCAACACCTAGGGGTCCTGGGGAAAGTCTGGAGGAAGCAGTGTCTCGGGGTTTTGGGTGTGCCAACACCCCGAGGTTCCAGGATGTGCCAACACCCATGGGCAAAGTTCTAGATCCTAGGAAACCAGAGTACCGACGTCTAAAGGCAGTACTAGAAGAATCAAAATCCTAGGGTCCTGTGATAGTCCCGGAAGTGTAGTCATCCCCGAGTCCCGGGGGTGCTATGGCAGTCCGGAAGTGTCGTCATCCCGAGGTCCCGGGGCTGGAGGAGCTTGAGTCCTAGGGTGCTGGAGTATCTTGGAGGTACTGGAGTCTTGCCCTTGCCCTAGAGAGTAATGAAAGTCTTGGCCGAGGAAAAAGGCGCACATTCCTAGCACCCATCTAAAGGACTTTGTGACGTATTCAACGTTTTGCCCCCCTGAAACCATATGTAAAAATCCTCTCAATACTTATATTAAACATGACTATTTCTCATCAACTCATGGGTGTTATCTTACATCTCTTGACACTGGAGTAGTACCAGCAATTATTGTGATGCTATGAAATCCGAGGCATGGAGAAAAGCAATGTGGGCAGAGATTGATGCATTGGAGAAGAATGACACTTGGACTCTAATGTCTGCTCCTCGGCACCAGAAGCCACTCGGAAGCAAGTGGGTATATAAAATAAAGAGGAAATCTGATGGGAGCATTGAGTGATACAAGGCTTGTTTGGTCATTTTTTTTAGGGATCATCAAGTTGAGGGTAGTGACTAAACGAAAACTTTTGCCCCGGTGGTCATAAAGTTTTTCTTCATGGTGATCTTAATGAAGAAGTTTAGATGCGACTTTCTCCAGGATTCACAGCATCACAGTCTGATGTTGTCACCAAGCTCAGAAAGTCACTTTATGGATTAAGACAAGCTCCGAGGTGCTGGTCTGCAAAGCTGTCTAGTGCTATGAAGGAGTATGGTTTTACTAAGTCTGTTTCTGACTAATCTTTGCTACATAATGCTCATGGAGTGGTTCACGTGTTGGTACCTCAAAATATTTCCTAAGTCTTGGGCTACTCGGACATGTCTTGGTTGGAAGAGCATGCTTTGTCTTTTTACTTTCCCTCTTATCTAATTGCACAAAACAGTCGAGGAACGACAGAATTAATTTCAAGCAGCAGGTCATATTCTATAAGCTCCATATGATTTACAATAAATCTCAAGTTGTGGTTTTTATGGGAACTACTATAATACCCATAATCTCAATATCCCATTGCAGGTAGTAATTTGGTGGGCTGGTTTGATGCGAGGAGCTGTTTCTAAGGCATTGGCTTATAATCAGGTATGTTGAAGAAGAATAGTAACAAGGCTGTCTGTTAAACAAGCCCTTTTGGTAAATATGCCGAACCTCTAGAACATTGGTTAAAACCTGATCCTTGTTTTTATTGCCAGTTCACTCGGTTTAGCCATACACAACAGCCAGGGAATGCTATCATGATCACGAGCACCATCACTATCGTCCTCTTTAGTACAGTGGTTGTTATACCCGGGCCTGGCCCTATCATACCCTCCCCCATGTCCTACACCCTCGCAAAAACCAGAGGACTTAAGTTCAAGCATTATGATCCGTTTTAGTGAGAATTCCGAGTCCTTCAACCCAAGAGGCCAGGATAGCTTCGGACCCGAGGGTTCCACAGGCCAACCCCCACTCTGTCCAACCCAACCCAAAATATCCAAAACTCCTTGCCATTTACTTCATTTCAAAATAAAGTTTTTTCCTACTCTTATTTAAGCTTCTGGCCAAAAATAAGGTTGTGTAAAATAAAACCTTTTGTTTGTTGTTATTTTTCTTCTTTTAAGCCTTTTGTTCAACAAATAAAACCCACCCTCTATTCCATTCACCCCTGGCCAAAATACACTTCACAATCCCAACATAAACACCCACAAAGAGCCAAAACCCGGACCCACCACTAGCCACTCATTCCTGCCCATATTCCCTCACAAATAACCCAAACCT